ATATATATATATATATAAGTAATTATTATTATTTATAACAAAGGAAAAGATTATAAGCAAATTAATATCGACGTGGATATAAATATAAATTATGTAATAGCAAGGTTTTGGATGTGTAGAGTTGACGTTACATTGGGGGTTTCACTTTTCAGCGGCGAAATGAGAAAACGAGAGAAGCAGAAGCAGAGGCATGAGAGGGGTCACCGTGGAAGAGGCTCTTTCAACTATCTTCAAGACGACCAAGATATTGATGACACTGCTCCCTTCTCTTCTCCACCCTCTGATGAAGTAGAACAAGAAGAAGAAGGTGTTGATGACAGCAATGAGGAACAAGAAGAAGCAGAAAAAAATCACGAAAACCAATCACATGATATGCCTTCCAAGTTCCTCCTTTACCAAAAATCTGTGCAGGTTTGTGCCCCCATCTTATAAAAAATGCATCTTTGCAAATGGGCATGCTTGGTTTTGTTGGTTGTTGAGCTGAATGATGAAATGCATTGCACGAGATTCAAACTTGTTAGTTACGTATGTCTTTCTTGGTATTTCTGGGTTCCCTAGCTACCAAATTGATGGGTTATTAAGTTCGTAATGTGGCTTAGTGAACCGTGCTTTTTGTTTGTGTTTGTGTGCAGTCTCCCAAAGGAGACATTAGTTATTTGCAAAAGTTCTTTCTCGTGTACGTGGGTGGAAGGATGCCACTCCATCTTCAAGAAGATTTCTGTGGCACTGCGTTTCTTAGGTACATCCTGCCATTTGTAATTTCTATTATCTTCAAGCATCTTTTAATTAGTTAATACTCTCTTGTGGACACCAACAATGGTTGTCACAAGTGACATTGGTATGTGTCTTTTAACCAAGTTATATAGGAGTGGAATCCAGGCCTTGAATATGATATAAACTGTACTGGGAGGAAAATACTCACGCTGTGTGTGAGTTCACAATCCCTAACGGAGGAGATTAGTTGTTATTTCTAATAGTGAATACTGCGTACCAATAACATGGTCATAAAAAAATACTCTCTTGAGGACATGCTCAAGTGTTATCTCTTTTGATAAGTTGTAGGCACTCGTTTTTGTCCCTGGCTTTACTAATTTCTCCCTTTAGCATTAGCCTTTGCAAATTAGTCATTCATTTTAGTTGTTTTCTACTTCATTTTTTACTAAAAAAATTCTAAAGTAAATGGCGATTTGCAAAGTCAAGAACCAGAGTAAGAGTTTTGTACAGCCAGACCTAAAATGACCGATGCTCACAATTCCCATGAGTGTGTAAATAATGATCTTTCTTTATTTATGTGCGTATAAAATTCTGATTTGGTTTTAAAAATTATGTTTGCTTGGTATCTAATTAATCAGGAATTTTTGGTCCTAAATTTCTTATTGCTGATTCATTTATAGCTCTAAATGCCAGATTAGTAAAATCTATTTTATATAGGGTTTTAATTCATTTAGTGCGTGTTTGGAAACGTGTTTAGGGAGGGGGAGATGCATGTCCAATCGTACACTACTACTACATATTTTAGTTTCTGGGTAATGCCACCCAAATGTTATTTTCTACCGCACTTCCAAATACACTATTAATCCTTTTCTTTTTATATGTATCTTGTTTTTTTCAGTCCCAGTCTACTTACCCGGTAGTGATTCATGTTTTAACAGTGCAGAGTGGCTGCGCAGTGATCCAAGAAGGACAGCAGTAGGGTTAGATTTGGATCTTGAGGCACTCAATTGGTGCATGGAAAACAACATACCTAAACTTGGGGCTGATGGATTTTCAAGAATATCCCTCTTTCATGGGAATGTCCTACAACCTCTTCAGTCCAAGCTTGTGAAAATGGATCCTCAGGAGCTGGTAAGCAGCATTTCGCTGTCACAGAATGCAGAAAATCTGCAGACTGGTGTGTCAGAATCTGATGCTCCAACAGGCTCTGTTGCTAAAGATGATAAGGTTACTATGAGAAACATAACACTGCCTGGAAGAGATATTGTGTGTGCTTTTAACTACAGCTGCTGTTGTCTACATAAGCGAGCAGATCTGGTTTTGTATTTCAAGCATGCTCGTGATGCCTTGTCAACTAAAGGTGGAATTTTTGTGATGGATTTATACGGGGGTACATCTTCAGAGAACAAGTTAAGGCTTCAGAGAAGATTTCCTAATTTCACGGTATAATATTCTTAATATTAATTTTGTAGCAATTCATTAGACTGACATGAAGATGTTGCCACAGTCTATGTGGAACTGCCTTTCAGCGATGATGCGGGTTTGACCCACTTGGATACGCTTTAAGAAATTTTGAACACACTTGCATGGGGAACACTGGACGGATAAATAGTTGATACATAGAGTATAAACGCTCTAGACTCTAGTATTATTTGCTAAAATTGTTCCACTCTCCTATTCAATTTTGTTTCTACTTGATCCTCAATTTTCCCACATCTTACTCTTGATGTTATTTTCTCATTATTAGTTTTTTATGATTGACAAATTGCATTTACAGGAGTGACAGTTTAACTGTTAATTTTTTAATTCCAGTTCTCTTTTAGCTTTTTCTTTTATCTTCTTTCACTGTTTGTATCTTTTTCCCTGACCTTTGTGTGTGTGTGTGTGTTTGCATGTTTATGGATATATAACATACATGACACCAAATTTGAGGAGCTGCAACGGATACTATGTTTTTCCAACAGAATGGCATCATATATGTTATAGTATACGAAAACAAGTATATTACTGATTTTTCTTGATTATCAAATATTGAAGTTGTGAATATTCTCCTGAATATATATATGATATGAAATTTGTAATCAAATCTGTAGTATGTATGGGAGCAAGCTGAATTTGATATTATTCAACGGAAGACAAGGATTAGCCTCCATTTTCATATGAAGAAGGAACAAAGAAAACTTCGCCATGCATTTTCATACAGCTGGCGATTGTAAGTTCTTGCACTGTTTGTTCTTTTTCCACCTTCAATTCATTAAATAAAATTCCATTTGTTAGGTGAAAATATTGCTCAATGCTCAATATTTCTCAATCTTCAATTGTGTTCTTGGTTTTATTGTATATTTCTGGCAATTTTTAACGCCATAAGAGGTGTGATTCAGGTGGACCTTGCCTGAGATTAGGGATTGCCTAGAAGAGGCTGGGTTTCGGACTGTTCACTTTTGGATTCGAGAGATGCCAGACACCACAGAAATTATGAGAACAGAGGGATTTGGTGCCGGAAAGAATATAAAATATGAAGAAGCAACAAGTTTTCAGCAACAGGATTCTTGGAATGCTTACATTGTCGGTGTTGCTTAGCTTCATCTTAGAAAGTGTAGTATCTGTTACTTTAATTTTGTCATATCTAGACAAGCATCACTTGTAATCAGTTCCATTGCTTGGAACTTTCTTTCCTTTCTTTTATATTCAGAATTGAATTGTATTTGGCTTGAGATTATGAAGTGTAACAAACATTTTTTTAAAGGCACATTCATCTTACATTTGGTATGAAATTTCATCAATTAAGGACCTTCAGGATACTTTCTTCTTGATTTAATCGATGTATGAGGTTGCATCGATCTATACTGAGTAAACACTGAACATTAACACTACGTCTTGACATATACTGTATTTCAAATATAAATGTTGAAATAATTGCAAATAATATAATCTTTTACTTCACCTTGTTTGTATACTTACATTCAATGTACATAACAAAACTTAAACAAATAAGTAAATAAAGTGCGGTAGCTCAAGAAATGAGAGCAAAAATGAAGAGAAATTGAAAAATTCATTCAAAAAGCTATAGTTACAAGAAAGAATTAACAGAAGATATGACTATAGATATACACTTGATTTGTGATCTGTAGCCTCACAATTAGTGCAGCATGTACATTTCTCTGCCTCTCATAGCAGTGACGTGTTTACATTAAAAAAAAATTAACTGAATCTCCAAGAAAACTTGCAGTCAATTTGAAGGTTTTGAAAGTTCTCTCTGGATAGAACGAGAATATGTCTGGTGTTGATATTGGAGGGTAACATCCAACAGTTCATCAAGAGGTGTCTTTGGCTTCCAAGCTGAAAACACGGAAGAAAACACATCAAGAACAATGTTAAAATTCTGCTGATCAATACATACATTTGAAAAGAATAATCATTGAATACCAAGCTGCCTGGTGATAATTGTCATGTCAGGGATGCGCCTATCACTGTCATCATAACCTTTACCATAGAAATCCTCTGAACTCACTTTCAGAGTTGATAGACTAGAGGCAGGTACACTAGCCACCTTTGAATAAGCCTTAATGTGAAAGACAATATGAGCCAAATCAGATTATTTTTATGTGGAAAACAAAGGCTAAGAACCTATCTACAGAGAAGTTTAGAAAGCAGAACAGCTAGAATTGAAGCTTTGGGGCTACCTTCATCATAAGCTCAGCTAGTTGCTTCACAGATACTTCATTGTCTGGGTTTCCCACATTAAAGATGTACCCATTTGCTCTCTCAGGGTTGTCCTGTGTCAAGTTGGCATGTACATTAGTCAAAGCTCATATAGCAACATGGATGATGGAAGTTCACTTCTGAACTTACAATCATTAACACAACAGCATCAATTGCATCTTTGATGTAGAGAAAGGTTCTCTTTGATTCCCCACCATCAACAAGTTTGAGGGGCTCGCCGCGCAGGAGACTCTGGAACAAGGAGCTTAGTGAAAAACAGTAGTCTATTAAGATCATGATTCATGAAAACATGAACAAAAAACAAAACCAGCTAGATGTTACATTACTGAAGCAAGCTAAGACTCTGGGAACACCATCACTTGGGCCATCCACACCAGGAATGAAGTCCATTCTTGGGCCAATCCAGTTATATGGTCTCACAATGGTGTATTTGAGGCCATTCTCCGCGTGCTCAGCTATAGTTTAGTACGGAATAGTAAGTTAAGGGAAGGAAACTTAATCATAATTATTGTAAGCAAAACAAAAATCCTGGTCATTGTGTACCATATATTAGCCTGTCAGTCATTTGCTTTGCACAAGCATAAGACCATCTCTGTTTCTCAACCGGACCAAAAATACAAGGACTAACATCTTCTTTGAGCATGAAATATTTTGGGTCCTGCATCATGCAAATTCATGTTAAATTCAAAACTAACGACCCCAAAACAGCATCTGAAATGTTTTGGTTTATAAGTATACCGTAATAGCATCACTGTTCATTTTCATCAAGAATGTGTGGCATGAACTTGCAAACTATAAAAATAATCTAATAGGGGGCTACCTTTCGATATTCCTCTGGGAGAAAGCTACCTATAGTCTTCCCGTAAACCTCGCACGTAGAAAAATGGATTAAACGCTTCTTGTTCTCGGTGCAATATTTAATCTGCATCACATAAACAACCCAATTACACACACACGAACCTGAAGAGCACCCATTTCCAGAAATGATCAATCTTGAACACCCACCACCGGAATCGCATCAATGAAGTTACTAAAGATGGTGTCCAACGGGCGCGTGTTGTAATCCGCCGGCGTGCAAATTGCAGCAAGATTGATCGTCTGCATCAAGTAACAACTCAATCCCAACAAATTTTATAAAAAAAATACAGTTCATCAAACCGGTAAAGCTTTAAATCGCGGTCAATTACTACCACACCGCCACTGCATTTGTAGCTACATGTACACATTTGTTCATTTTTTTTTTATAATTGTTATTGTGAAACTTTTTTGTAATTTATGCAACGGCATCATCTGTATTTACACGTAATTTTTCATAAATTGAGAATTGCAACATAACAACATTTGTGATCAAGGCTTTATAATATATATATATATATATATATATATATATATATATATAATTATAGCTACAAAGGCAAGGCTTGTGAAGTCTCTACCACATTGCATTAGCCATATTTGTACATAATTTTCCACTAAGAATTGTCATAAAATCATAACCAAAGCCACAATATATTTTGGTTTCATCTCATCGCAAAAACAATTGCAGCTGCATCATCAACACTAGATAGGAATTTTCCTTAATCTCATAGATAACTATGAAACTCATATGCGAGAGCTAGAGACTACTAATCTCTCGAGCTAACGAAAACCTATTTAAGGAACTGATCTCTATTAACAATTGTTTTTTCATATACACAGATCTAATGATCGAATCTCTCATTAAAGGATATAATTATCATGCAATCATATCGCATCACATTATGTTGAATTTCAAAGGTTAATTTAATCGCGTTCTTAACCATGACTTATCTATTTATAATACATCCACCGGAATAACAATAGTGAGACTCCTTCCGTGACGACGGTAACCCTGCAATCCAAAATTAATGTGAAGAAAAGCGGTATGAGAGAAAGGAAATAGTACGAGATCGGAGGCTTTGATGAGAGTTTCGAGGCGAGAATCGGTCTTGATGTTCATTTGGTGGAACTCGATGCGGTGCGCCCAGGGGAGGGACATGTCCAGGAGGTGGTTGATTTTGTCGGAGGAGACGTCGACGACGACGGCCTTGTGGTTGGTTTCCGCCATCAGCTTCTCGCAGAGGTGCGATCCGATGAAGCCGCCGCCGCCGATCATGCATATCGCCTGCATCGAGATCGGGTTTCCGTCCAAGTTCACTCGCGCCATTTTGAAATTGCGGAGGCAAAGAGAAAGAGAGGCTGTGGCAGTTATAACTGCTTTTTTAGCCATGAAGGAAGGAACTGAGAAAGCGGTGGCAGTCTCGTAAATAACCTCAATTTCTGTTATGATTTTATTCATTAACTTTACAAAATTAAGGTATGAATAATTACATGAATTTATTTAGATTTTTTTATTTAAATAAATATATATTTAGGTAATATAAATATTAATTTTTTTTAGACAAAAATCTTTATGAGCAAATACAAAACAATCCCAACAAATTAATGTCAAATTAGAGATCTCGAGGTAACTACATAGGTAAATAATTTTACACATGTAATTATGAGCAAATCATAAAGCAATATAAAAGTAAATTAGCTTTTGTCTTCTAGCATCTTCAAAATGATGAATTTGAAGGGTTCTCCTAAACGCATCTACGGTCTAATTCAGCAGAGTGTTCATGGATCAGTTTTTTTGAAAAATCTAAACTGAATAAAATTGAACTGTTTTATAAAAGTGAATTGCTTAACCGATTTTTTTATTTTTGTAAAGTGGATTAGTTTGATTTTTTTAAAATATGGATCGATTTTTTTGAAATTAGATCAGTTCAGTGCGGTGCAGTTATCCACTTTTTATTCATATATGGATCGGTCTTTTTAAAAAATCAAACCGAATCGAATCGATCCACTTTGTAAAAATGGATCGGATAATTAAACCAATTTTATAAAGTGGTTCGGTTTGGTTTTTTTTGTTTCAAAATGGATCAGATTTTTCAATACGGATCGGATCGATTATGAAATGGTTCGAATCAATTTATATTTTTTGCACACTCTTACAATTAAGATGCATTACTTCTTATAAATAAAATACTTGCTACACTTTCTTCAAAGTGCCATGTATATGTATACTCCGATTCACATTTTTCCATCTACATGGCGAAAGTAGAAACTTACCTAAGGTTGTAACGGTCCTAATAAAAATTATTTATTGATAAAATTGATAGGTATTTTATATTAATAATATGATTAAAAAAAGTAGAAGAACAAGATATATTTTGAGGTCTATTAAAAAAATTTGGTACAAATTTTGGTTGGAAGAAAAAATTGATTAAGCCACATAAAATAAATAAAAAAAAATTTAAGTGTTTATAGGTAAGGATACCCATGAATTCAAACCAATCCAACGTAATCCAAACAATTGGATTCAGATTTTCAAAATGTTTAGGTGAAATCCAACACAATCAAACTCAATATTCTTTGGGTTAGATAATGGGTTTTAGTGCCGAAAATTCAATCCAACCCATTGAACAAATTTTAATTTATTTTTAGTCCTTATAAAAAAAATTCTTTGAATTTCATCCCTATTATTAATTGAATATTAAATGTCAAAATTATATATATATATATATATATATATATATATATACTATAAAATGATTACTAGGAGCTAAAAATAATTATTTCAAATTTTAGAAGAATGGAAATCAAAATTTCATTACCAAATGATGAAAATCAAAATTTCAAATGTTAAAGTGGTGAAAAACAAAGATGATACCGGACTAAAATCAAAAGTACCATATTTTATATGATTATATAAAATATTTAAGTCATGTATATTATAAAAATATTAGTAACTTCAAAAATAAAATAAAAAATAAAAAAACATGTGAGACATCTTTGTGTGCATATACATGATTCACCACTATGTTTGTCATTTGGGTTATACTACTTTGATAATCAATCTCACTACCTCAATAACTCTCTTTGACTTTATATTTATCTCTAATGCATGGATGATATTAGTAGGTCTATAATAAGTATATTTTATATGATGATAAATTTTAATCAAAGAAATTATATTTTAATAGTATTATTGATACACTACAAAAAAAAAA